CTGCATTATTAATCGTTATTGATTATGTTATATTACGTTTGTTCGTTTCGTTAGGTTAACAGTGAGCACAGTATTCTTGCGTTTACATCTTATCAAGCCTTTTCCCCTATTTGTTCACTTGTACTTTCAAGTTTCAGCATCTAAAGATCAACTAAATGCATTATTATTGCAGCCTCAAGCCAGGGAGAAAGCCCAGAAGGAGGGATTTGAAGTAAGTGTTGCCAAGACAAGTTTTAAGGCAAACACAAAGGCCCTTGCAGAAAACGAAGGAGAGGGACTAGCCAAGGTTACATTTCTGCAACCTCTATTCACACCTTTCTTCAATGATATACGTTGATGATGGTTTTCAGTTGGTGATAATTCCATTATTTTCACCTCATCCAGCTAATATATAGACCCGATAATGGAGAGATACTTGGAGTTCATATTTTCGGATTGCACGCTGCAGATCTGATCCACGAAGCATCAAACGCAATAGCACTAGGAACACGCATTCAGGTAAGTTTCACTGTGAAAATCAATATCCTTTTGTGTGTCAGGACTGATATGGAATGCAAACCCCGAAGAAGAATACATAATCCTGTCTGAACTCCTTAAATCTGTAACGATTAGGTTAACAGATCTGCTTTAATTGATAAGAAAAAACTCCTACGAACAAATAGTCTTCGAGTTGCACAATTTTCTCAAAGCCTGACTCATATTTGACTCCCATTATGTTGATGCAGGATATTAAATTAGCGGTTCATGCACATCCAACCCTATCCGAGGTGCTCGATGAACTATTTAAATCAGCTAAGGTCAGCTTAACATTTTGCTCGATCATATGCTACCTACAAGTCTGGTTCTAATGATTTCCTTTTCAATATCAAGCGTGTCAATGGAATTCAGCTCATGCATATACAATAGTTTTCATTTCTTGTCAATGCACCGAAAGTCCATGAATTACACAATCTCCGTTCACTGAATGAGTTGCTCAATTTCAGACACTAAAAAGTTTCTCCCCCTGGTTCTCTTGATATAGATTTGATACAAAAATGCCTTTTCAACAGGTCGAAGCTCACGTTCCGAGCGCAGTAAGTGAACCGATTGCAGTGTAAGCTTCTCCAACGCCCAAAGCCTTCTTTTTGAAGATTTTTGCTTTTGTTAGGGAGTTCAGAGAAAGTACACGATTTCTAGATGGAGGAGTGATCAGCAGGAACATCACAATACTGGAAGAAACAACCAAGTGTTTAGAGAATTAGCAGACGTCGTACGGTTAGTTTGGTCCAAAATATTTTAGTATCTCTGTCATTCTTATATTATTGATTTAATCCACGCCTTACAAATGGAACGTAAATCTGCAACTGCTTCTTCTTTTAGATGTGTTTTTGCTTGTGATTTTGGACAAATAATTTAGAAATATGAAGCCATATTAGTCAAGAATGGTAGCTGACAGACATTTAGACTTCGGTTCACTTCTTTTTCTTTGTTTTAGCTCGATCGAACCTCCAATCTTACAAATGATATTTCTAATAAATATCTTATTTACTAAATTATGCTCGAATGGACACTTCGTACTTGTAAAGTCCATTCTTATAACGCCGTCAGGAGAAGACATTAACATTTAATTATTATTTAAATATTATTGTAAGGATATATTTTTCATATATAATCTTTTAAGAAATATCTATTTAAATCAACCTGAATATTTTAACCTAGATAGACACTTACATTACAACTTTGGTTTCACAGTTAGCTTATAAATGACATTTATGTAACCACATACGACAAGTGAGTTAAGTTTATTCGTTCTTACATCAAGTGAGTTAAGCTTATTCGTTCTTACATCAAGTGAGTTAAGCCTATTCATTCATACATCGTCTATGGCCAAGCAGACGTATGCTCAAGCCTTTATCCCCTGTTGAAGAAGAAAATTTTAAAAAACAGCCTATTAGTTTCATCTATGGCCAAGCAGACGTATGCTCGAGCCAATAGCCCCCGTTCAAGAAGAAAATTTTAGAAAACGGAGCCTCTAGTCCCGGAGCCTCTAGTCCCAGTTCAGGAAGAAAGTTTTAGAAAACGGAGTAGAAAGATTTCAAAAAAGTTTTTGAAAGCAAGATTTGAGAAATTAAAGTCGATGTTATGTATGGGAATATAAGGAAATATAAGCAAAAGTCGACGACGACTAATACATATAACTATTAGGAAGAAGTTGACTAACTGTTCAATGGCCCCAAGACTCAATAGCCTATTTAAAAACTTTATATAGGTTGAATTAGCTCATAATTCTTAAAGTAATTTGATTAGGACCAAACCAAATTAAATTTGTTGTCATTTTTTTTTTTTTTTTGCTGGAAATTTATACATGTATATATTAATTTCATAATTAACAATTATTCATAATTTATTTTTCACCATCATCTAAACATCATAACACAACTGAGTGGATTGGATCTAAAAAAATATCACTCCCAAATCCAATATCACCCTGAACGGTTAATTTTAAAACCCACGAAGATTGCAGTTCATAACTATGATCTCACATTTCGATTCGAAGGAGAATCAAAGAAGGCCAAGAACATTCAATCCAAGTTATGAAGCATACAAAAAGAAGAGAAAAAACAGAAAAAAGAGAACAGTTGAGACAAATGAACTTGGAAAAAGAATATCCCATCGGCAAAGATAAAAAAGCATTGAATCATAAAAGACAGATAAAATAGCATTGAATCATAAGAAGATAATGTCGATGGCATAAATTGATTATGTATGAAGATGTAGCCTTAGAAATGCAAATCTGATAATGAATTGTCGTAATCAGGCATCAGAAGCAGCGCTTTCCACATTGAAATGGAATTCGCTACAACCAGGTCAGAATTACAAGACTAGTGAACAAAAGAAGAGCAAAAACAAAAGATTCAATAGAAGCAAACTTATATCATAAAAACCCTAAACTTGCCGGCTTCATGGCGTTCTACTTTACTCTTCCTCACTGCCGGTTTCACCGCTCTTATTGTTGTGTTTCTTCGCGTACCTCTGGTTTCTAAGGAACTTCGGATCCATCTAAACGCAAATCAACGAGATAAAGAATTAAAACTATTCTGCAGAAGCATTCTATAAAGCAAAACAATCGATTGAACAAGAACAGAAATGATTCCATCAGTAAAGCTCATACTCCTTTGGTGGAAGTGTGACGATGCTTCCTTGGCTTCTTGATGCCGTTCCTATGGGCTTTACGGGACTGATTGTGCGCTGTGTGATTCTTCGACTTCGCCATCTCTGAACGAAAAAGAAGGTGAAATCAGAAAACTGATATGCCAAGAAATCGATAGAAGGAGAGAGTTTGAACAAACCTTACTCTGTGGTAGCGGCAAATGCTAGGGATTCCGTCGCTCAGTTGATCGTTTTGCCCTAATTTAGTGTTATGGGCAGCTCAACATGGGCTTGCCTCCAACTTATAATGGGCCTGGTTTTGGGCCAATAGGTCCTACAGGGAAACGAGATGTTTTAAAATGGGCCCAAAGAAATGACTAATATTAAATTGCCCAAAGAATGTTTAGATTTTATGGAAATGGTCATAAAACATTGTAAAAAAATGATGAAAAGGGTGACCGTAATAACTTATATTAGGTAAATATTTGTGGCTACATGTGTAATAATATACCATGTATAGATATTTGTGTATATTGTTAGATGAACACGACTCTCTATAATATTGTCCAACTTTGAGTATAAGCTCTCATGACTTTGCTTCTACAATGGTACGATGTTGTCCACTTTGAGCATAAGCTCTCGTGACTTTGCTTGGGCTTCTCCAAAAGGCCTCACATCAATCGAGAGAGTATTCTTTGATTATAAACCTATGAACATTCCCTAAAGGTCTCACACCAATTGAGAGAGTATTCTTTGATTATAAACCCATGAACATTCCATTATAAATCCATGAACATTCCCTAAAGGTCTCACACCAATGGAGAGAGTATTCTTTGATTATAAACCCATGAACATTCCATTATAAATCCATGAATATTCTCTAAAGGTCTCACAGCAATGAAGAGAGTATTCTTTGATTATAAACGAACATTCCCTAAATTAGCTATAAACCCATGAAAATTCCATTGTAAACCCATGAACATTCTCTAAAGGTCTCACACTAATGGAGAGAGTATTCTTGTATTCTTTAATTATAAACTTATGAATATTCCCTAAATTAGCCGATGTGAGACTTTTATCCAATATATATATTAGTAGATATTAATTCGTGAGCGTTCAACAAATGACATTTCAAATATAAAATTGATATGTATATTGAATTTATTGAAGAAAAAACATGAGATTTGTAAATATTTCATCTTCCAAACTTAATCTTCCATCTCGAACAAAACACTTTAGCCCAATCTTATGGAGAAGAGCACAGATTGATTTAGAAAGAGTACAAATTGAAAGTCGCATTCTTGAAAAATATTTGTTTGGTACATCTTATACATTAAAATCGAGCCACATATAATCTTATATTTCACCCAAATGATTTGAATCCAATTAAAAACACTATATCATAGTTTAAACCACATACCATTCAAAATATAATTAATAACCTATGGTTTTTCATATAATAACAAACCATTAGCTACTAGAGTTTATGAGAGAAATCCCTCAACTATTCTTTTTTCTGTCGTGGTGAGAGTAAATGTTACAACCTTCATTTTTCCGATTCTTCATTTTTGCATTAAAAAAAAATATATTATTAGATTAAATTAAATCGCCCTTTGGAAATGATTTTGAAGAACTTTTTTTTCGGTTGATTTAAAGGTTATTTTCTACCTAATATCTTGGATTCTTAACTTGAAAAACAAGAACAAAATTTTCAAATTTATTCTTAGTATTCAAAACTTTGGCTTCAACAAAATAAAGAAATGGATCCGTAAAGAAATCAACTAGAAATAGTGTTTATAATTTTAATTAAGAAAAGCCTAAATAGTTATGGAAGAGAATGCCAATAGCACAAACAAGTACGAAGAACAGGTAAATGCGAAGAACAGGTAATCGAACATTGAAAGAAACAGGACTCGCTACATTGAAGTGAAAGTTACTACACTGGTGATAACCAAAAAGAGAATAAATAACAAAATCAAAAAGGTTCAATCGAAGCAAACCAAAAACTCAACTGCATGGCGTTCTATTTTACTCTTCTTCAGTACCGGTTTCACCACTCTTATTGTTGTGTTTCTTCGCGTACCTCTGGTTCCTAAGGAACTTCGGATCCATCTATTGAACAAGAACAGAAATGATTCCATCAGTAATTCTATAAAGAAAAACATCGATTGAACAAGAACAGAAATGATTCGATCAGTAATTCAATAAAGAAAAACATCGATTGAACAAGAACAGAAATGATTCCATCAGTAAATCTCATACTCCTTTGGTGGAAGTGTAGCGATGCTTCCTCGGTTTCTTGATGCCGTTCCTATGGGCTTTGCGGGACTGATTGTGCGCTGTGTGATTCTTCGACTTCGCCATCTCTGAACAAAAACAACCAAAAGAGAGTGAAATCAGGAAACTGATGCTATGCCGATCTTCGTTACAGAAGAATTTGATAGAAACGAGAGGATTTGAACAAACCCTAGACTCCGCGGTGGCCGAAAATGCAGTGATTTCCTGAGCTTCCTTTGCTCGAGTAATCGTGTTGACCTATTTCAATGTTGTGGGCGGCTGAACATGGGCTTCGGCCCAAATTTTTACTGTATTTATTTTCTAAATGGACGGGCTTGGCCCACATTCTCATCACTGTATTTACTTTCTAAATGGATGGGCCTGGCCCACATTCTTACCGTATTCTTTCTAAATGGGCTTGGTCATTGGGCTAAAAAGAGAGAAAATGGTTTTGGGCTTGGGCCCACATTCTCGATGCGTCGGCTCGGCTTCAGTTTCAGGCTCCATTGTTACTTCGTCGGATTGTTTCTAGGGTTTTAGGACGACTTGAGCTCGGGCTTGGTCTTGGGCTCGGGCTCGGGCTTGTGGTCGAGCTTGGGTTTCGTCTTGGGCTCAGGCTTGGTCTTGCGCACGGGCTTGGATTTGGGCTTAGACTTGGGCTCGGTCTAGGCCTTGGACTTAGGCTCGGACTTTGACATGGGCTGGGCTTGGGCTTGGGCTTGGACTTGGACATGGGCTGGGACTGGGGCTTGGGCTTGTACTTGGACATGGGCTGGGCTTGGACTTGGACTTGGAATAAATTAAAGATTGGAATAATCTGAATCGATCTGTCCCGTAGAAGTCTGTCGGTTAGAAGTTCGTTTATAATATTTATTTTTCAAATAAGCTTTTTTTTTTTTAATTATAATTTTTTAATATTATATAAATAATAAATAATTGAATAATGTAATGTAAATTTATTTAAAAAATTATCACTAAAATAAAAATAAACCTTTTTTTTTAATCAAAGCAATTATTTAAATTTTCTAATGTTTTGATTATGTGTATATATATCTGTCTGCATATAACAGTTGTAACGGAAAATCCTTTTTATTTTTATTTTTATTTTCATTTAAAAAGTAAAACCATTTTGTCGAATGGCGTCCTCAGATCTCCATCGCTCCTTTGAATCTCCGTTCGTCTTCATTCCACTCTCTGCGACGCCAACTATTCTCCGGTGAATTTTTCGGCTTCATTCTCACAGATTAGCAATCGGCGGTTATGTTTCTCGTCGATTGGTTCTACGGCGTCTTAGCATCGCTCGGCCTCTGGCAAAAAGAGGCCAAAATTCTCTTCCTCGGCCTCGATAATGCCGGCAAAACCACTCTCCTTCACATGTTGAAGGACGAGGTGAGTTTCGTTTCTTTATCTTGCTCTGTTGTTGGATTTTACTCCTGATTATTGAAATCTTTTAAGGAGTAATTTGAATTGCGTGTAGAGATTAGTGCAACACCAGCCGACTCAACACCCGACCTCAGAGGAGTTGAGTATTGGGAAAATTAAGTTCAAGGCCTTTGATCTTGGAGGCCACCAGATCGCTCGCAGAGTCTGGAAAGATTATTATGCTAAGGTGATTTTTTTTATTGGTCAATTTCTGATTGCATTTTGTCGATATTTTGATCTTTTCAACTAGGATTAGTTTTCGTCCTCTATGATTCGTCTCAACTCAATAAGATTCTCATCAACGACGGATATTATTAGCAATCTGCCGTTTTAAATTGGTAGCTGATTGGACCTATGATATAGATTTTCGTTTATTTTTTATTTGAATTTGATGGTTGTTGGAGTTTTCTTCTTTTCAAGCCCACCAGATCCATTTTCTGTGCTTCATCGTAGGATTTAGACTTTGGTTTCAATCTCCTTCAGCTGTCGTTGATGTGTTTTCAAAATCTTGTGGGGAAACTCGGAAGGGAAAGCCCGAAGAGGACAATATCTGCTAGCGGTGGGTTTAAGCCGTTACAAATGGTATTAGAGCTAGGTTGGAGGGGGGTGGATTGTGAGATCCCACATCGGTTGGTGAGTGGAACAAAGCATTCTTTACAGGGGTGTGGGAACCTCCTAGTGGACTCATTTTTAAAACCTTGAGGGGAAAGGGAAGCTCGAAAGGCCTAAAGAAGACGATATCAGAACGTTTCATGTTTCAATAACTCCCACACTAACCTTCTGGTTATGAAAGAAGAATTGAAGTTGGAGATGCATCCTATTTTATTCAATCTCCTTCTCTCGTGAAATGGATTCTCGAGCATACCAGCCACTCAGTTGACTATGGGAGTATGGAAACACCTACTCGATTGTCCTCGAACTCCATAGCGTTCGTCAAAGACGAGCATTGGCAAATTGTTTACTTTCTTCCGTGCCTCTTAAGGGTGCTCTTAGATTTATGGCCTATTTGGAATGACTTGAAAAGGCGTTTTTAAGCACTTGAAAAGTTATTCAAACAGACTCATCAACCTTCTCAATTACAAAATTCGTTGACATTGCTGTAAATCGTGCGCTTCGATCCATTAAATCTTTCAAGTATTTCGATCCTGGCGTGATGAAAACCTGAATTCATTTCCAAATTTGATCTTGTCAAATTTCTTAATCTTTCTGCTCACTTGGTTCTTATAATATTGTGTTGCAACTTTCTGAATTCCCTTTTTACTAGCTTAGTGTCTCTCCTCTGCTTGTGTAAATATGAGGATGTCTACACAAAATAACTGTTACATATGTCCATGATTAGGTGGATGCAGTAGTTTACCTGGTCGATGCTTATGACAAAGAGCGGTTTACCGAGTCGAAAAAGGAGCTCGATGCTCTCCTTTCGGATGAAGCGCTAGCTGATGTTCCATTCCTCTTGCTTGGAAACAAGATCGACATCCCATATGCGGCATCCGAGGACGAGCTAAGATTTCACCTGGGTTTGACCAATTTCACAACTGGCAAGGGAAAGGTTAATCTTACGCAGACTAATGTTCGACCGCTCGAGGTTTTTATGTGTAGCATTGTCCGCAAGATGGGTTATGGGGATGGCTTCAAATGGCTCTCCCAATATATCAAGTAGTATCAAAATTGGTAATTAGCATCCATTGTTCCCATATAGGTTATCGTTTGTGCCTGAAAGAACTTAGTTTGAGGGAGAAAATTGTTTACAAGTTTGGCAACTTTTGTGTTGGAACTAGGTTTTGTTGTCATCATATTCTCTGATTATTGTTTTTTGTGACATTATATTGCTTTAAACTCTCAATAAAGTCCGTAGATCAATGAGTTTGAGAAAATGCTTACTGTAATGCAAAATGCTGTCTGAATTCGAAAAAACTCAAGTCCATATCTTTAACTATTCATAGTATATACTTGATATTGTCTGAGCTCGAAAAAACTCAAGTCTTATGTCTTTTAACTATTCATAATATATATCGATGTTATTTGAGCTCTAGTAAACTCAAGCCTCATGTCTTTAACTTTAACTATTTATAGGATATACTCGATGTTGTCTGAGCTCGAGAAAACTCATATACCGATGTTGTTTGAGCTCAAGTAAACTCAAGTCTCATATCTTTAACTATTCATAGTATATACCGATGTTTGACCTCGAAAAAACTCAGATCCCATATCTCTAACGGTTCATAGTACATAACGCTAATCACTCCCTCAATCATTGAAATCCCTAAAATTCAAATCATCAAATGAAAGCTTATCTAATTCCAGCTGCAATATAGATGACAATCAAAGTTTATACACTAGAACTTGCACACAAACTTCAATGGAAGGTTTAACTCAGCATTGCTGCATCACTCCAATGGGACCTATATCATAAAAATTACATATTTTACCAATTCCGTGGACAAAAGAAAGGCCATCGAATTCCATGAAACAGTTTTGTAGAAGTAAAAAGCAAAAATCAGACTGAACTATATTCATATATAACTACAACATGTACAGGCTACAAGCATCTCCTACCAAAAACATTTGCTATGACACAGGGCAGTAGTTCTTACCCATCTAAAAAGTTCATCCCATCGTCGACTAACGAGTATTGGCACCGGTCATTCCTCGTGTACGCCCGAGCTAAGGAAACTCCTGTCTTTAACCATTAATCACTGCCACAATCATAGGACTTTTCACAAACTTGTGCTTTCAGCCATTCATTTTCATATCAGGATGTGAAAGCTCTTCGTATTCCAACTGAAATAGCTCAAAAAGAAAACAAAGTCAAAATTTAAACGACCTGAACTTACACAGGAAACTTCAATGAGAGGATTGTAACTCACCGCTGCTTCAGCATGGGTTAACTTCATCCGACGATACTCCTCTTGTACTTTCTTTGATCGGAACATAGCCTGAACCCGAATAACAGCTCTCTCAACTCGCTCTTCTGCTTGTTTTTGAGATACGCGGTAGAAGTCCTCTTCCATGCCAGTTTCCTGATCTTCTGTCACTTCAGCTGGTGCAACTTGAAGTCCACGAAAACCTTTTCTCTTAAGACGCCAGCGCAGTATAGCTTTCTCAACAATTCCTACCGACCAAACGATCTTGCGATACTGTCTTCGCACTTGGAAGCCTCTAAATGCAGCCTAGGAGAATAGAAAAATATTGGTAGTCATCTTCCTGAACAGCTCATTTTTAACATAACTCTAGCACGCATGTCAGTTCAATAATAGTTGCATGAAATTTTTTTATCACTTCACAACAATCACCAGGTCCAAATAAATCACACTGTATTTGGCATGTCTTTTAAAGTGCTTATGAATTAAAAACGCTTTTATTAAACTTGTAGTGTTGGGTCAAAATTTTAGACAGGTATTTTACCAATTAAAAGTGCTTTGTAAACCTTCTAATGATCAAAAGCAGCTTAAGATATTTGAAAATTAGATTAAAAAAAAAGCAATTTAATTTCTTTTAGAGAAAACATTTGACTAATTTTTTTCTTCCAAAAATGCTTATATGATAGGGAAGAAAACACTTTCTTTTTAGGCATGCCAAACACACACACGAAGAATAACACTATTCAAATCTCCTCAAGCAGAAACGATAAACTTGGCCGATAAAAAAACTGAGGGTATAGGCTTACTTGAATCCTAATAGTTTGACGACGCATATTAAGGAAGTCTTTGCGGATCTTCCACGTGCGGAATCTGTATTGAATATGAGCAGCAGCTGCCATTTTTTTTCGTGTTTCAAAGTTGCGGAAGGCATGTTGAATTTTCATGGCCGCAATAATACCACGTGCTTCAGCTTCAGGGGTGGAGAGTTCAATTGCGTCAGTCCTTTGC